TATTTTCAATAAAGGACTATTGAAGAAAAGATTAAAAATCAATGGGCAACTAGATAACTTAATCCTGGAGAACTGGTCATTCAAAGAACAAATTATAGAAATGATACATAGATGCTGACAAAAATACCAAAATTCTGGGGATTTATCTAAAACATTTTTAGGGGAAAATTTATATCTTTAAACCATTTCATCAACAAAAGAGAGAAATAACAGATCAATGAATTGGGTAGCAACTAAAAAAACCTGAAAGTTAATTAACTAAAAACATAAAAAAACACTAAAATAGAAATTCTGAAAAATAAAAGGTGAAAAATATTGAAGGAAAATAAATTTCCAGTTCTTTGTAGTGGTAAAGACATGGAAATGAAAGAAAGTGCCCATCAGTTAGGGAATGGCTGAACCAATTATGGTTCATGATAGATACTATTGTGTTAAAAGAAATTAAGAAAGTGATGGTTTCCGATTTTTATAGTCTGCTCATTATTTTTGCTATTCTGGATGTAAATTCTGCTCTCAAAATATGAACTGATGCAAATGAAGTGAAAAGAATCAGAATAATTTACACTGTAATTCCAATATTATAAAAATGAACAATTCTGAAAGACTTTAGAACTGCGATCAGATAAGCCAGGATTTCAGAGGACTGATGATAAAGAAACCTGTCCATCTCTTGACAAGAGAGTTGGTAGACTAATATGCAGAATGAGTCATATTTTTTTTGTATGTGGCTAATGAGGGAACTTGTTTTAATTAATTATGCTTGTTTGTTACAAGGGTTTTGTATTTTTCTCCCCTCTCTCAAATTGGTCATGAAATAGAAGGGAGGCAAAATACTTGATGACTGGAAAATAAAAGCATTTTTAAAGGGGAGAAATAAAGAAAGAATTAAAAATTAAAATGCCTAGAATAGAATAGAAAGAAGTTCACAAGAAAGCATAGATTGTTTTGAAAAGAATGCAAAATTTACTATCTGCTTGGAAAAAAAAAAGAAGCAAGGCATATAAGCCTCACGTATAAGCCTCATCTGCTGTGCATATGGAAATTCTAATTTTGTGTGTGTGTGTGGTGTGTTAAATTCAGAATAAATGTTTTGGGGTTTTGTTTTTTAGAAAATAGATCAAAAGAAATAATCAACAAAACAAAACAGTAGAAAACAAAATTGTAAGATAACATAGACCAAGTGGAGAAAAAAACCTCAGTAATAACTCTTTTTAATATTCTATGTATCTTGTCTTTAAGATTGATCTGTTTTGCTGGCATTGTTGTTGTTTAATTGTTTTAACTGAGTAGAACTCCTCATGACCCCAGTTGGGGTTCTCTTGGCAAAGATACTAGAGTGCTTTGCTATTTCCTTCTCCAGTTCATTTTACAAATGAGGAACCTGAGGCAAACAAGTGAAGTGACTTGCTCAAGGTTAAAGTGTCTGAGGCCAGGTTTGAACTCAGGAAGATGAATCTTCCTGACTCCAAGCCTGGCACTCTATTTATTGTGCCACCCAGCTACTCTTTTGCTTGCATAATGAACATGTTTTCTTTCATGCTATTGTTTTTTGCTTCTCTTCTTCTAAGTCATCCTTCACTTTTGTGTATTTGCATTACCAATCTAATATTCTCTCTTTTACTTTTGGGTGAGGCTTGCCATTGCAGTTTTTATAGTCTGCTCATTATTTTTGCTATTCTGGATGTAAATTCTGCTCTCAAAATTCTCATTTCTCTTTTAAACTACTCAGGAACATCATGTTGTGATTCTCTGTTCTCCTCAAATTCCATAAGATCCTCCATCTCATCAAGTGTTGGATCATTTTCCTTTATTTTGGACTGTTTATTAGTGGATGCTTGAACTCATTTGCCAGATCTGGAGGCTACATTTCCTTCTGTTACAGTTTTCTCATTGATTTATCTGTTGTGTTCAAGGGCTTTGAGCTTTCTTCTTCCTGAAATCTTTGGTACTTACAGTCATTTCCTTTCTCTTGCCTTCCTTATCACTCACTTCCTGACTCCTTCCCCTCTGATTTTAGTTTGTTGATGAGCTAGATCTCAAAGAGTCTCAACCTACTCCAACATTGGGCCTATGTCTCTGCCCCAGCTGACTTTTGGGTGATCAGAAATGGATTTTTTAAAAATACTTTTGTTTGGATTCTGGATGTTCTAGACCATGGACACAGCTGAAGTTGCTTTTTATTTGGCATATAATTTCTGTTAGGGAGAAGTATGAGGGGTCATGGGTATCAGAGAAAATGCCTAGTGAGCTATCTCATTGCTCACATGACTCAAAAGTCTTCTAACTCCATTGCTACTTGGGAGATGGCTGTGCAAATCATCACAAATGAATATACTGAAATATTCTGACTGACCATTTGTTATCTATGTTATAGAGAAAATTCTAGTTCAGGTATAAGCTAACTTGCTTCCGATTATCTTCTTTATTTTCTCTCAAACTCTGAAATGCTTAAAGGTCCAAAAATTAAGAAAATTATCAAAGATAAGGGACATAATAACAGCGTTGTTTAAAAATTTGAGAACATGAAATAAATTGATGATTATTTATAAAAGTTTTAAATACCCAAGTCAACAAAACGAGTGGATAACCAAAATAGCCAAATCTCAGGTGACATCAAATAGACTATTGAAGGGCTCCCCTACAAAAAAATTATCAGGTCCAAATGGATTCACAAAGAAATTCAGGCAATCATCCAAAGAACAAATAACACGTCCATCTGTCTATCTATGTCTTCTATTGTGAACGTAAACATCAGCAAACAATATATAAATTTTTTTTTAAAGGGGGCAGTTTTGTTTGTTGGTTTGAGTGGATCCTAAAAAAAGACATGAAACATTTAAAGAGGACCTAATTATACAAAAATATGCATGGCTAGGTGGCACAGAAGATAGAGTGCCTGCCCCAGAGTCAAGAAGACTTATCTTCCTGAGCTCAAATCTAACCTCAGACACTTAATAGCTATATGACCCTAGGCAAGTCACTTAACCCTATTTGCCTCAGTTTCCTTATCTGTAAAATAAGCTGGAGGAGGAAATGGCAAACCATTCCAGTATCTTTGCCAAGAAAATCCCAAATGGGATCAAAAGAGTCATGTATGGCTGAAATGGCTGAATAATAACAACAATGCATAGCTACTTTATTTGTAATGGCCACCCCCACCTCCAATGGAGCAGCTGACATGTCTAATGGTTGATAATAGCTAAAAAAAATGTATATTAATGTAATGGAATAGTATAATAGGTGAAAATGATAAGCATACAAACTTATGTTGGAAGTGATCCAAAGTGAGATTAGCACAACCAAAATAATAAATATGAAGACTAAAAACTGTGTATAACTTCACTATATTGATAATAATAACAATAGCTAACATTTACATATTTACTATGTGCCAGGCACTGTTCTAAGCACTTTACAGTTGTATATATGCCATATGTATAGTATGTATATACATATACATATGTGTATGTAATGTTAACATTATATATTGATATTGTTATAAATATATCATAATAAACATGAAGAGTTGATTTTATAGATATAATTATAATAAATATAATAAATGCAAATATTTATTATACCACAATCAACATATAATAATGATATATTTACATTTGAAATATTTATAATTTATTAATATAAAGACTGTTATATCTTTATATCATATAACATATATGCACATACATATATGTACATGTACTATATATGTGTGTATATGTGTATGTGTATGTACGTACATACACATACACACACATATATGAAAACAAAGCCAATCAGATGGATTCAGAAAGGGACCGGAAATGTTATTTTTTGTTTGTTAATTTTTGGATTCTATGTATGCTATAATTTTTTGTTTTACATATGATTTTACTCTTTAATTTTTATGTTTATTGAACAATGTATTTTTGTTGATGGTCACATTTGTAATACACAAATAGATTGTGTAATCTAATAGTGAAATTTATAATATGAAATAAGGACTATCCTTTAGCTAGCCTGAAAATTCCCAGCAGCTTTTATATTAAACATTCTATATGGGCAAACCTTTTAAAGGAATTGGAGGTTTTTTCTTTATCTTAACATGGAGATGTATACAAGGCAGATATATTGACAGCAGGACCTTGTTTATTTGCTTTGTATTTGTATTCCCAGGTCAGTATTTTTTTTTTACATAACAGATACTTTACAGGTGTTTGTTGAATAAAGGAAGTCACTGGAGAGGTTATCTAGGTCTACTATCAACTTGAACCCTGAATCTACATCATCTTTGACTAATAGAGGTCTAGCCCTAGCCGCTACTGAAAACCTGGCAAAATGTATCTAACAATTATAGCCATGACTGGGCCCAAGGGGTTGTGACTCTGTACCCTCCTCCCTCTCCACTAAGGGGCCCTATATGGGCACATTGACCAGGTTCAGTCCTGAGGGAGCCTGGCTTCTAAGGAGATAGATTAGGTTCATTTTCTCATGTTCTTTGACATTTTACACTCTGAGCCAAGGGGAAAATGACTTGAAGCTTAGGGCTGGCCTCATGTCTAGTGTCTCCATAAAGCAGGGAGTAGAAAGATACTCCATGGATAACGTGAACAAGATATGAAACAGCTATTTATTTCCTTTACCAAAGGAAATACTAAACAGAAAAACTTCTATATGCCTTGACAGGAAAAATTTAAAGAAGCAACAATAACAATTTATATCACTTAAAAAAGCAAGAGCAATTACTGTTACAATTAGTGGCAAGCAGGACCAACTTGTAATGGCTAACCAGAACTGAGTGTTAAATTTGCAGAGTTTTTTTTGCCAGTTTTTAAAAAAAGGCACAGTTCCATTTTCTCCTGCACTAGTAATGTTATTTGTTGCTTCAAAAATAATTGGTGCCAACCACAGCAGACTGTATTTCCAATACACTACTGTATTTCCAATAACCTTGACACTAACCTCAGATTCTAACCCTAACCCTAAATTCTAACCCCACCCCTGATATGAAAAATGTTACTTACCATGTTGGGTCTCTATTGGTCCCTAAAGGGCTATATGCCACAATGACAATGTCATGACTTTGACAAAATTTCAAGAGCTTTGTCTGGGTGAAGTATGGATGACACTCAACCTGTATGGATGAAGTATAAAGCTAAATGAATAATTAAAACCTAGAATATTGAAGTAATTGATATTCTACATTGGCAGAAAAGATAAGAAGATACTGTTGACCACATTGATAATCTAAATGGCTCCTGAGGCAATTGTTGGCTTTCTTCCCTTTACCTTTTCCCAACATTCTTTACATGCTGCAAAGTTGCTAGGGAAAGGAAGCTGTGATACTAGGCTTAGAGAAGACCTGGACTTGAGAATCTTCCCACTTCTTCTCTCCCTGCCCACAGTGGATTCTCAGAGATTCCAGTTCACATCTCCTTCTCCTAGACCCATAGGTATTGGGTTTTTTCCACCAAAAACATTTTGTTGTTGTAATGCACAGTAGGAAGCTGTACCTGGTTGCAGACTGGCTTATATTTGAGTCCTGGTTTATTCAGGATGAGCTCCAGCTGTTTGCGGTTGAAATTAGACACTCCAAGGGACTTCACTAAGCCAGCATCTTTGCATGCTTCCAGAGCCTGTGCCAAAAACATCATAGTATCATAGATTTAGATTGGAAGGGCCTTAAATATCATCTGGTCCAAACCTTTCGTTTTGAGGAATCTAATACCCAAAGACATAGCTATAACCAGTGATTTCTTTACCTGTGGCAAACAGTGGTGGAGAAAAGGGCTGGAAAAATGGTGGTGTTGATTCACCTAGAATACTGCTGAAAACAGCAGAAGTGGTTATGGCAAGAGGATGCCACTGCTGCTATTGCTGCCACAGAGTGTTAGGGGAGGAAATGTCTTCAAGATAGAGTTGTTGGCATTCTCTGAATTCCCCACTCAGAGGCAAAGCTCCAGGTGTATCACTCTAGCTACACTTCTGCCCAAACATGGTAGTGACTTGTCCAATATCATAGAAGTAATATAGGTAGAAAGCGTACTTAGGTGGCACAAAGAATAGAGTGCTGGATCTGGAGTCAGGAAGACTCATCTTCCCAAGTTGAAATCCAACCTCAGATACTTACTAGCTGTGTGACCCTGGGCAAGTCACTTAACCCTGTTTTCTCACTTGTAAAATGAGCTGGAGAAGGAAATGGCAAACCACTCCAGTATCTTTGCAAAGAAAACCCCAAAGGGGGTCACAAAGAGTTGGACATGACTGTAAATCATCCCTTGTCTTCACCTATCCCAGCTCCTTTTCTCCCTTACCACAGCCTCTAAACCTCACTCCTATTGAATGAAAAGGACCCTAACTGCTGATACCCAGTTTATTTTCCCAAAGAAAACAAATTAAGAGAAGAAAAGAAAATATTACCCCCTCTAGGAATTTTTAAAAACAGGAGAGACAGAATTTCTTTATAGAAAAATTGAGAGAATAGACTTTGTGGAAGTCTGGGCTCTTTCTTGTAACCAAATAGTTTTCTCTCTTGACAGAAACCCTGGTCTGTACTTCAGAAAGCTATTTTAAACCAAATCTGAATCTTTGAAACTTATTTTCAGAAAGGTGATAGGAAGAGTATTTCAATACAGGTCAGCTCTTTAAAGTCTATGATAACTGTATTTTCAGGATAATTCATAAAGAAGTCACCTAATTATTAAAATAAAACAGAGAAAAGGCCTTGTGATAGAAATCAGTGCAACTCTAGCCTGATGGTACCAGACATCTTAGCAAAGGCCTTGAAGCAGAAATTCCATTCCTTCTCCTCCCTTCTGTCCATGGACAATCATCAACATTCATTGAATCACTGCTTCATCTTCACTTTTCCTAACCTGAACTAAAGAAAAAACTGTTCCTCCACTCTCTCTCTCTCTCTCTCTCTCTCTCTCTCTCTCTCTCTCTCTCTCTCTGTCTCTCTCTCTCTCTCTTCTCTCTCTGTCTCTGTCTCTCTCTCAAAAAAAAAAAGAGAAAGCAAGTATTTAGCATTTTTGTTCTACTATACAGCCTCTGTATAGAAGAGAGCAAGCAAATGAGACTACTTTGGCCAAGTGGGGTGTGTGTGTGTGTGTGTGTGTGTGTGTGTGTGCATGCGTGTGTGCACATGTGTGCACATATGCTTGCACTTTACCACTTTGTAGCCTCCCAGCTTCAAGTCTAAGGTCTTTCTAGGATTTATTTTTTTTTAAAGAATCTAACCCTCTTTTCCCTGAACATCTTTAATATTATTTTATTTTCCCCCAGTTACATGTCAAGAAAATTTTTAGCATTCATTTTTACAATAAATGACAATTTTACAACAAAGAGTTCTAAATTTTTCTCCCTCCTTCCCTCCCCTCCCCTCTTCTATAAATTGTAGGCGGTTTAATGTAGTTTATACATGAGCTATTATGTAAAAATATTTCCATAGTAGTTACAGTTGTGTGAGAATAAACAGATCAAAAGGGGCAAAAAAACATGAGAAAGAATAATGTAAGTAAAAAAAATACTCTTTCATCTGTATTCAGAGTCCATCAGTTCTTTATCTAGATATGTATAACATTTTTCTTCGTCAGTCCTTTGTACTTGTCTTGGATCATTGTGTTGCTGAGAAGAGCTGAGTTATTCATAGTTGATCATCACATAGTGCTGCTGAACTGTATACAATGTTCTCCTGGTTCTGCTCATTTTACTTTGCATCAGTTTGTACAAGTCTTCCAGGTTTTTCTTAAATTTGTCTATTCATCATTTCTTATTGCACAATAGTATTCCATTACATTCATATACCACAGCTTATTTAGCCACTCCTCAATTGATGGGTATTCCCTCAATTTCCAATATTTTGCCACCACAAAAAGAGCTACTATAAATATTTTTGCATGTGTAGGTCCTTTTCTCTTTTTCATGATCTCTTTGGGATCCAGACCTAGTAGTGGTATTGCTGGATCAAAGGGTATGCACAGTTTTATAGCCCTTTGGCATATTTCCAAATTGATTTCCAGAATGGTTGGATTAATTCACAACTCCACCAATAGTGCATTAGTTTCCCAATTTTCTCACATCTACAGAATTTATCATTTTCCTTTTTTGTCATGTTAGCCAATCTGATAGATGTGAAGTGGTACCACAGAGTTGTTTTAATTTGCATTTTAAAAAACATTTTAAGGCTAGAAATTATTATTATTATTATTTTTGTCTAGGCAATCGGGGTTAAGTGACTTGCCCAGGGTCACACAGCTAGTGAGTATCATGTGTCTGAGGCTGGATTTGAACTGAGGTCCTCCTGACTCCAGGGCTGGTGCTCTATCCAGTACACCACCTAGCTGTCCCTTAATTTGCATTTTTAATCAAAAGTGATTTAGAGCACTTCTTCATATGCTTATAGATAGCTTTGATTTCTTCATCTGAAAACTGCCTGTTCATATCCTTTGACCATTCATCAATTGGGGAGTGGCTTGCATTCTTGTAAATGTGACTAGGTTCTCTATATATCTGAGAAATGAAGCCTTTATCAGAGATACTTGCTGTAAAGATTATTTCCCATCTTTTAGCTTTCCTTCTAATCTTGGTTGCATTGGTTTTGTTTGTACAAAAGCCTTTTAATTTAATACAATCAAAATTATCTGTTTTATATTTTGTAATCCTTTCTGTCTCTTGTTTGGTCATGAATTTTTCCCCTCCCCATAGATATGACAGGTAGACTATTCCTTGCTCTTCTAATTTGCTTATGGTGTCACCCTTTATGTCTAAATCATGTCAAAGGTCTATCATAAGTAAGTTTTCCCAATATTCTATTTACCTCCTTAGTTTCTTTCTTGTTTATTTTTTGGTTGGATTTATCGAGTTCTGAAAGGGGACAATCGAGGTCCCCCACTAGTATAGTTTCACTGTCTTTTTTTTTCCTGTAACTCACTTAACTTCTCCTTTATGAATTTAGATGCTATACCATTTGGTACATATATATTTAGTATTGATATTGCTTCACGTCTGTGGTACCTTTTAGTAAGAGGTAGTTTCCCCTTCCTTATCACTTTTAGTTACGTCTATTTTTGTTTTTGCTTTGTCTGAGATCAGGATTACTACCCCTGATTTGTTTTTACTTCAGTTGAAGCATAATAGATTCTGGCTCCAGTCTCTCACCTTTATTCTGTGTGCATCTCTCTGCTTCAAGTGTGTTTCTTGTAAACAACATGTAGGATTTTGGTTTTTGACCCACTCTACTATCTGCTTCTGTTTTATGGGAGAGTTCATCCCCTTTGCTTTACAGTCATGATTACTATCTGTGTATTTCCCTCCATCCTATTCTTTCCTCTGTCTGTCCTCTCCTTTCACCCTCTCCCTCCTCACCAGTGTTTTGCTTCTGTCTACCACCTCCCCTTATCTGCCCTCCCTTCTGTCAGTCCCCATCCCCTCTTTCCTTAATCTTCTCCCTTCCTACTTCCCTGTCAGGTAAGTTAGATTTCTATCTTCAAATAATTGTGTATATGATTCCCTCTTTGAGCCAATACTGATGAGAGTAAGGTTCAAGCAATACTCGTTGCCCACCCTCCCATCTTCCCCTTCCCTGTAATAGGTCTTTTGCACCTCTTCACGTGAAATAATTTACCCCATTCTACCTCTCCCTTCCTTCTGGACCCATTGTACTCTTCTTTATCATCCTTTAATTTTTTTTATGGCATTCTCTTAAGTTTACCTTATACCCATTATTCCTTCTAGCTACATTATTAGTGACACAGTTTTTAAGAATTAGAAGTATCATCTTCATGTGTAGGGATGTAAATAATTTAGCTCTATTGAATCACTTATGTTTCCTTTTCCCTTTTTACCTGTTTGTGCTTCTCTTGGGTCTTGATATTGGAAGTCAAATTTTTGATTTAATTCTGGTTTTCCCATGAAAGCTTAAAATCCCTCTATTTCATTGAATGACCATTTTTTTCCCCTTGATGTATTATGCGTAACTTTGCTTGGTAAGTGATTCGTGGTTGTAGTCCTAGCTCCTTTGTCTTTTGGAATATCGTGTTCCATGACCTCTGATCCTCTAAAGTTGCAGTTGCTGAATCCTGTGTAATCCTGATAGAGATTCCCTGATAATAGAATTGTTTCTTTCTGGACACTTGTAGTAATTTTTCCTTGACCTGATAGTTCTGAAAGTTGGCTATAATGTTTTTTGGAGTTTTAATTTGGGGATCTCTTTCCTGAGGTGATTGGTGGATTCTTTCAATGCCTATTTTGTCCTCTGGTTCCAGGATATCAGGGCAATTTTCCTCAATAATTTCTTTTCTTTTTTTTTTTTGGTTTTTTATTTTTTGTTTTAGGCAATGGGGTTAAGTGACTTGCCCAGGGTCCCACAGCTAGTTAAGTGTTATGTGTCTGAGGCCAGATTTGAACTCAGGTCCTCCTGAATCCAGGGCCAGTGCTCTATCCACTGCGCCACCTAGCTGCCCCTTCCTCAATAATTTCTCGAAAGATGCTGTCCAGATTCTCCTTTTGATTATGGCTTTCAGATAATCTAATGATTCTGATATTGTCTCTCCTGGATCTATTTTCCAGGTCAATTGTTTTTTCTGTGAGGTATTTTACATTTTCTTCCATTTTTTTATTCTTTTGAATTTGATCGATTAATTCTTGATGTCTCATAAAATCATTAACTTCCACTTGCCCACTTTTAAGGTATTGTTTTCCTCAATCAGCTGTTGCACTTTCTTTTCTATTTGGCCAATTTTACTTTTTAAGCAGTTTTCCAAGCTGTTGACTCTTTTTCATAATTCTCTTGTATCACTCTCATTTCTTTTCCCATTTTTTCTTCTACTTCTCTTATATGATTTTTAAGCTCCTTTTTTGAGCTCTTCCATTCTGGGCTTCAGACCACTTCCCATTTTTGTTTGGGGTTTTGCCCATAGGTTTTGACATTGTTGTCCTCTTCTGGGTTTGTGTTTTGTCTTCCCTGTCACCATAATAGCTTTCTATGGTCAGATTGCTTTTTTGTTCTTTTTGTTCTTTTTTCCCTTTTTGTTTTTTAGATTTGAGTTCTGTACTCAGGGTGGAAGAAGCACTGTCTCAGGCTTCTTGTGCCAATGGCTGCAGGCCCTGGCTGTTTACTTGGTATTATGCTGATGTTTCCCTGAGGTCCCCAGGGAACCCTTGTGTCTGGTGCTGGGCTGAGGGGGTGGGTGGGGTGAGGGGTGGCTGGCCCTGCTGGAGGATGTATGAGTCTGGCAGCTTATCCGGTGCTGAGCTGGGGTCCCAATGGTGGTGTCTGGTGTGTGCTAAGGGATGGTGGAGTGTTTCTTCATTTTCCTGAGACTATACTGAAGCATGATGTCTGGCTACTGGAAGATGCCTGTTACTTGGAACTACACTGAAGCACACGTATGTCTAGCCACTGAAGGTTGCCTGTTTGCCCTGGGCTATGTACGCTCCCTGAACATCTTTAAACATTTCACTTGCACTTTTTCCCTTCAATTACGGTCACCTACGTCAATACTTCTGCAAGTCATTCTGTTTCATTCAAATTAATGTCTCCTAGACCCTATGCATTTTGGGAAGAAGGCCAAAGTGAAAAAATCAAAGTACAAACAAAGTACATAAAAGCCTGTTTACACAGAGCAAACAGGTATTAAAAATCCCCCATAGTAGTTGCTCCACACTGCTCTGTCAGTATCAACCAGAGCAAATCCAACACATTTTGCTTCCCACTAATAATCCCCCAAATCCACAGAAAAAGCAAGAGAGGGTTTTAGGTAATAGGAGAAGGGTTCAGTCTTACCTCCCAGGTGTCACACAGGTTTACGTCATGGAACAACCATTTACCATTTTCATCCCGAGGATAAAAGGTATTTCCTGGCTGGAGGAGGAGAGGGAAGTTAAGTTCTTTGTTATTCACTTCTTGATGTAGGAATCAGACAATTTAAATTAATATATCATAAGATTGTAGAGTTGGAAACTGGATAGACTAGGCTTAGAAAAAACTTAACACACCCAAATCAGTGTTCTGTCACCTGATCTGTCCTCTCTCTCTCCAGTCTATCAGATCATCTTCCAAGGCAGATCTTCAAAATTCTGACCAATTCATTCCAACCCTTCCAAACCCCCAAGACACTTAAGTAGCTCCCTAATGCCTCAAGGAAAAAAAATATATGTCTTTACTCTATGACTTCTACTTCCTCTCCCATCCCCAGCTACCTAGATGCAATCTGTCTTTTTTGTTTGTTTTGTTTTTATTTATTTTTTGCTTTTAGGCACTTGGGGTTAAGTGACTTGCCCAGGGTCACACAGCTAGTAAGTGTCAAGTATTTGGTCTGAATCTGGATTTGAACTCAGGTCCTGCTGACTTCAGGGCCGGTGCTCTATCCACTGTGCCACCTAGCTGCCACCAAAGAGAAAAAGAAAATTGTAGACCAATATCTCTAATGAACATAGATGAAAAAATTTTAAATAACATATTAGCAAAGAGTCTGAAACAATGTATCACAAAGATTACACACTATGACCAAGGTGGATTTATTTAAGGAATACAGGATTTTTTCCCCCCATTTCTTAATACTGTTGCTTTATTTTTTAAAATATTTATTTATTTATTTTTAGTTTTCAACATTCACTTCCATAAGATTTTGAGTTTTACAGTTTCTCCTCCTCCTCTTCTTCTCCCTCCCCAAGATGGTATGAAATTTGATATAGGCTCTACGTATACATTCATATTAAACATATTTTCACATTAGTTATGTTGTAAAGAAGAATTAGAACCAATGGGAGGAACCACAAGAAAGAAGCAACAAAACAAAACAAAACAAAAAAAAAGAGAGCAAATAATATGCTTCCATCTGCATTCAGGCTTCAAAGTTCTTTCTCTGAATGTGGATAGCATTTTCTATCATGAGTCTTTCAGAGTTTTCTTAGATCCTTGCATTACTGAGAAGAGCTAAGTCTATCAAAGTTAGTCATTGCACAATGTGGTTGTTACTGTGTACAGTGTTCTCCTGGTTCTTCTCACTTCACTCAGCATCAGTCCATACAAGTCTTTCCAGGTTTTTCTGAAGTCTGCTTTGCTCATTATTTCTTATAGCGCACTAGCATTCTATTACATTCATATACCACAACTTATTCAGCCATTCCCCAATTGATGGGCATCCCCTCAATTTCCAATTCTTTGCCACCACAAAAAGTGCTGCTTGTACATATGGGTCCCTTTCCCATTTTTATTATCTCTTTAGGATACGGTCTTAGAAGTGTCATTGCTGGATCAAAGGGTATGCACAGTTTTATAGCCCTTTGAGCATAGTTTCAAATTGTTCTCCAGAATGGTTGGATCATTTCACAACTCCACCAACAATGTGTTAGTATTCCAATTCTCCCACACTTTCTCCAACAGTTATCATTTTCCTGTTTTGTCATGTTGACCAATCTGATAAGTGTGATGCAGTACCTCAGAGTTGTTTTGATTTGCATTTCTCTAATCAATAGTAATTTAGAGCATTTTTTTGTATGATTGTAGACGGCTTTAATTTCTTCATTTGAAAACTGCTTGTTCATACCCTTTGACCATTTATCAATTGAGGAATGATTTACATTCTTATAAATTTGACTCAGTTCTCTACATATTTTAGAAATGAGGCTTTTAGCAGACATACTGGCTGTTAGAATTGTTTCTCAACTTTCTGCTTCCCTTCTAATCTTGGTTGCATTGGTTTTGTTTGTGCTAAAACTTTTCAATTTAATGTAATCAAAATCATCCATTTTGCATTTCATAATGTTCTCTATCTCTTGTTTGGTCATAAATTCTTCCCTTGTCCATAAATCTGACAGGCAAATTATTCCTTGATCTCCTAGTTTGCTTATAGTATCTAAATCATGTACCCATTTTGACTTTATCTTGTTATATGGTATAAGATGTTGTTCTATGCCCAGTTTCTGCCTTACTGTTTTCCAATTTTCCCAGAAGTTTTTGTTAAATAGTGAGTTCTTATTCCAGAAGCTTGAGTCTTTGGGTTTATCAAACAGTAGATTACTATAGTTATTGACTATTCCACTGATCCACCATTCTATTTCTTAGCCAGTACCAAGTAGTTTTGATTATTGCCGCTTTATAATACAATATAAGATCTGGTATAGCTAGCCCACCTTCCCTTGCATTTATTTTCATTGATTCCCTTGATATTCTGGACTTCTTTTTCTTACAGATGAATTTTGTTACTATTTTTTTCTAGCTCTATAAAATAATTTTTTGGTAATTTGATTGGTATGGCACTGAATAAGTAAATCAATTTAGGTAGAATTGTCATTTTTATTATATTAGCTCAGCCTACCCATGAGCAACTGATATTTTTCCAACTATTTAGATCTCACTTTATTAGCTTGAAAAGTGTTTTGTAATTATGTTCATATAATTGCTGGGTTTGTTTTGGCAGGTAAACTCTCAAATATTTTATAATATCTATAGTAACTTTAAATGTAATTTCTCTTTCTATCTCTTGCTGTTGGGCTTTGTTAGTAATATATAGAAATGTTGATTTATGTGTGTTGATTTTATATCCTGTAACTTTGCTGAATTTGTATATCATTTCAAGTAGTTTTTGACTTGATTTTCCAGGATTCTCTAAGTATTCCATCATATCATCTTCAAAGAGTGATAGCTTTGTTTCTTCTTTGCCTAGTCTAAGTCCTTTGATTTCTTTTCCTTCTCTTCTTGTTAAAGCTAACATTTCTAGTACAATCTTGAATAAGAGTAGTGATAATTGGTTCACCTCTGATTGTATTGGAAATGTTTCTACCTTATTCTCATTACATGTAATACTTGCTGATGGTTCTCAATAGATGCTACTTATCATTTTAAGGAAGACTCCATTTATTCCTGTGCTCTCTAGTGTTTTTAATAGAAGTGGGTGTTGTATTTTGTCAAAAGCTTTTCCTGCATCTGTTGAGATAATCATATGATTTTGTTAGTTTTGTTGTTGATATGGTGAATTATACTACTAGTTTTCCTAATATTGAACCAGTTCTGCATTCCTGCTATAAATCCTACCTGGTCATAGTGTATTATCCTTGAGAAAAGTTGCTGTAGTCTCTTTGCTAACATTTTATTTAAAATTTTTGCATCTGTATTCATTAGGGAAATTGGTCTATACTCTTCTTTGTTTTGGCCTTTCCCAGGTTAGGTATCAGCACCATATTTGTATCATAAAAAGAATTTGGTAGGACTCTTTTTTCACCTATGTCCCCAAATAGTTAATATGGTATTGGAATTAATTGTTCTTTAAATAGTTGGTAGAATTCACTCGTAAATCCATTTGACCCTGGAGATTTTTTCTTAGGGAGTACATTGATGCTTGTTCGATTTCTTTTTCTGAAATGGGGCTATTTAAGCATTTTATTTCTTCTTCCACTAATCTGGGCAATTTATATTTTTGTAAACATTCACCCATTTCACTAAGATCATCAAATTTATTGGCATACAATTGGGAAAAATAGCTCCTAATTATTGGTTTAATTTCCTCTACATTGGTGGTGAATTCACTCTTCATTTTTGATACTGGTAATTTGGCTTTCTTCTTTCTTTTTTTTTTAAATCAAATTAGCCAAAGGTTTATCTATTTTATTGTTTTTTCCCCCATAAATCCAGCTCTTAATTTTATGTATTAGTTCAACAGTTTTCTTAATATCAATTTTATTAATCTTTCCTTTGGTTTTCAGAATTTCTAATTTAGTATTTAATTGGAGATTTTCGATTTGTTCTTTGTCTAGCTTTTTCAGTTGCATGCCCAATTCATTGATCTCTTCTTTCTCTATTTTATTAATGTAAGCATTGAGAGATATAACACTTCCTCTAAGAACCACTTTTGCTGCATCCCATAAGTTTTGGTATGTTGTCTCCTTATTGTCATTCTCTTGGATAAAGTTATTGATTGTTTTTACGATTTGTTGTTTGATCCACTCATTCTTTAGGATTAGATTATTTAGTTTCCAATTAATTTTTAGTCTATCTTTCCATAGTCCTTTATTACATGAAGTTTTTACTGCATCATGATCTGGAAAAGGTGCATTTAATATTTCTGCCTTTCTGCATTGGATTGTGAGGTTTTTATGCCCTAATACATGGTCAATTTTTGTGTAGGTGCCATGTACCACTGAGAAGAGAGTACATTACTTTCTATCCCCATTCAATTTTCTCCATAGGGGTACCATATCTAACTTTTCGAAAATTCTATTCACCTCCTTAATTTCTTTCTTGTTTATTTTGTAGTTAGATTTGTTTAGTTCTGAGAGGGGACAGTTAAGGTCTCCCACTAGTACAGTTTTGTTGTCTAATTCTTCCTGTAACTCCCTTAGCTTCTCCTCCAAGAATTTGGATGCTATACCACTTGGTGCATATGTGTTTAGTAATGATATTACTTTGTTGTCTATGGTACCTTTTAGCAGGATATAGTTTCCTTCCTTATCTCTTCTAATGAGATCTATTTTTGCTTTTGCTTTGTCTGAGATCAGGATTGCTACCCCTACTTTTTTTACTTCAGAGTCTACCTTCCAAGATACACATAACACCTAGGTAAAAACAGCTACAAATTGCTGATCATAGAAATAAGGACAGACCTAAATAATTAGAAAAAAAATATTAATTACTTATGGGTAGGATGAGGCAACATAATAAAACTGATAATACTACCCAAATTAATTTACTTTTCAATGCTACGTCAATAAAAATACAAAAGAAACTATAATAGAACTAGGAAAAATATTAACTAAACTCACATGAAAGAAAAGCAGTCAGAAATCTCAAGAGAAATAATGAAAAGAAATGGAAATTAAGTGGGTCTACTGGTGCCAGATACCAAAATACATTATAAAACAGTA